TTCCAGGACATGCAAGGGATCAGACCACTCATCATTTCATTGGCCAATGATACCTGTGGGATGCAAATCTGGAGTGGTAATGAAAACAGCAACATCAATGGAAGGATCAATGTAATAAACCTGACGAGCAGAAACTGCTTGCCGAACTTCCTCCAGCACCTGCCGTACCTCTGGGGTCAGTGTCCAAGGTGACTTTAAATCAGAGTCTTCCTTTAACAGATCAAACAAGGGAGACAGTTGTGTCGTGGTCAGTCCCAAATAGGGACGCAACCAAGTGACAACACCCACCAACTTTGGGACATCATTCGGTGTCTTCACTGAACACACAAATTGCACCTCTTGATGTTGGATTGTTCCAAAATTTTGACGCCCAAATACTTCCAAGGAGGCTGTTGCTGAACCTTTTCTGGAGCTACCTGCAGCCCGTGAGAGTGCAGGGCAGTGATCAGCTGAGGCTGTATCCTCAGCAGTTCATCCTGGGTGGACACAGCCAAGATGTCACCCATATAATGGTGGAGATGTTCATCAGGAAACTGCTGGCAAACTCCAGACAGGGCTTGAACCACATACCATTGGCAAATGGCTGGTGAATTTCACATGCCTTGTGGCAAAACCTTCTATTGATATCTCTGTGCGGGTTCAGCATTATTGACAGCTGGCACCAAGAAGGCAAATTTTGGTCTGTCATCAGGATCCAAAGGAATTGTAAAGAAACAATCCTTCAGATTCATGATGAGGACTGGCCAATCAGCAGGAAGCATGGTGAGTGACGGCATGCCAACCTGCAACATCCCCATGCTTTCCATCACAGCATTAACTTTCCAGAGGTCTTGCAGCAACCCCCATTTCCCAACCTTTTTTTTGATGCAGAAAACAGGAGTGTTCCAGGGACTGGTAGAAGGCTCCAGATGACTCCAACTGTTCTTGCACTAAATCACAGGGAACAACTAATTCATCTTGAGGGAGGGGCCACTGGTTCTCCTGAATGGATTTTTCCAACAGCCACTGTATAGGAGGCATAGGACAGTCTGCACCCTCCAGCACAGTGGCCCCTATCAAAAATCCATCCTGATACACACACCCCATGCAGCCAGAACATCCCTCCCCCAGAGAGTTATTCAAGAGTCATTCACAACGTACAGCCAAACCATGGCCGTGTCTCCTTCTGGGTTTGTGATGAACACGGGCCTTTGGCTCACATAGCATTGTGCTGCTCCTGCCAACCCTGCGACAGACGTCTGTACTGGTTCCACCCCAGGGGCTAGTCTGCAAGTCTGACAATGGTGATGTCTGCACCAGTGTCAAGAAGCCCACGGAGGCTAACCTCTGGCAGTGTCTCACCAGGGATGGACAGGGTACACGCCCTCTCAGGACTATCTTTGGCCGTCAGGACAGCGGTCCAGTGAACCTGAGACAGCCCAGTGGACCTGAAGCCACCATCTCCCTGCAACCAGTTCTCAGCTCTGCAAACACAAGACTTAAAAGGCACAAGTTGAGCAAATCTGGTTCCAGCAGGTATAGTGATGGGGGGGTGAGCATGGAAACCATGGCATAAATTCATCCCAGGAAATCCTAATGAATGATTCCCAGGTACACAATGATGTCCTGGGCAGTGGTATTAGACTGTCCCACAAGTAACGCAGTCATGCCCTCACCCACTGGACCAAAAGCATCCAAGGGAACACTCTGCATTCTGCAAGAGTCTAAAACAACTGTTTCTGCTGTGGCCCGCAGGTAAGCTGAGCCACAGGTGCTGGCTACAAGCTGGCCAAGCAGACCTCCATTGGCTCCAGGGTGTTAAGAGAGGCTTGTGTCTGAGCGTGTCTCTCCGTCGCGTTCTGCTTCCCGTTTCCCAAGCCCAACAAAGGCTGGCCATTGGCACGGACCACTGCCTTGCACACATTCACCACATGATTTGACTTTCCACACTGAGCATGCAAAAACAAGGGAGTTGTTACCCCCTGTGCTTTCTTTTTTTGTTTCTTGCTGGCCTGAGCATTTCCCTGTTGCCGCTGCCCACCCTGTGGCTTCATCCAGATTGGCTGCAGAACGGCAGCCACAATAGGCAGTTCATCAGCAGTGACACCGTCTTTTACACACGCCTGTGCCATCTGCGGCAGCGAGGGATCACCAGGGAGCATCCCAGTGATCCTCCAACACACGGAATTACAGTTAGTCCTTGAGAGGTGTTTGAGCAAGAGCCATCTTGCCTCGTGATCCTGCACCTGCCTCTCCACAGAAGCAGTCAGCCTATCTGCAAATCGCAGAAAAGATTTGTCAGCCCCCTGGACAACTGTCACAAAGGGCTCCTTTGGGGCGGCCATTTCTACGGCCTGCACCATTGCTGCCATGCCCATCTCCTTGCATTGCGCAAGCACAAGAGGGTCAAGGCTAGCCTGCCTATTAACATCAGCAAAGCTGTCTGTTGCCAGCAGAGCATCAGATCCAATTGCATGCCTGGCACCTCACTGACCCAAGGCAGCATTCTGCTGTACTACTTGACATGCCAACTGAGCCCATTGCAATTCAAAAATATTATATTCAACTGGCTGAAAAAGAACACAGGCTAAGCTCTGGATGTCATAAGAGATCACCAACAAGACCTCGAAGTGTCTGCATGACTTCACTTGACCTTAACCCATGTTTTTCAGCCATCTCCCAAAGATTCGTCAAGGCTTTCCAGGATAACGGCTGATGGGTTCTCTAAGTCGCACCCTGAATCACAGGGAACACCTGATAACCATCGGAAGAACGGCCACACCTGCTATGTTTTGTCTCGTGGACTCCTCCGAGACAAGGGTAGGCACCTGGTTGGAAGTCATTGCAACAGCGCTTGGCGTCACAGCCGTCGTAGCACCAGCAGGGCCAGAGAAGTCATCCCTGTCTTTCGGGGGCTATTTCCAAATCATAACCAGCCACCTCATCAACCTTAGCTTTTACAGCCTTCCAAAACCGTGCCTGGTCCCCTGGCCGTACGGTCATTTGGCAGGGGTGTAGAGTCCATAGGCCAGCTGAAGAAGCCCCACCGACCAGGACCCTCTGCCCCTCTGGCTTCTTGATGGCCGTGTCTCCGCCTGGGCCAAGAGTAAACAACGCAAAGACCGTGTCTGCTTCGGCCAACGCAGCCGCAGGAGATGGCAGAGGCACCCCCACCCCAGCCATGGCTCCGGGCGGTGCCCAGGCACCCGAGGCGTGACGGGGCAGAGCCAGCTGAGCACGGCCCTCCCCCAGCGCGGGGAAGGAACGAGGTGCAGGGAGGGGCGCGGCACGTGAAGCCTCGGCACCGTCCCGCCCCGCTGCCAGGGGCTGTCCTGGGCTCATGGAAGGGGAACACCACAGCACGGAACCGGCAGAATCCAGCCCGGTGTCCGTGCCACACCCAGCACCCCCTCCCACCCCCAGCAAAGCCGGCGCGGGAGGGGAGGCATTCGGCATCGCCCCCAGCAGGGTCCCACCGGTGATGCGAAGCCCAATGGCCAGCACTGGCTGCTCCGCGCAGAGTGGCACTGGCGCCCTGCCCACTGGGACAGGTTCCGAGAGAAGATCAATCAAACTCCCACCCTCTGGGACGGCACCCACCTGTGCATGCATGGCAGCCGGCGGAGAGCCCGGCCCCCCACGTCAACCCCCGGGGGATGCAGCACAGCCCCAACACAATGAGCACATGGAATCATCCCCGGCTCCGCCTCCAGGGGTGGCGCAGGCCCCTGCCTTGGCAGCTCTCCTTCCCCCTGCGCTGGGAACGCGCACAGGGAAGGCGACCCTGCCCCGCTCTTCTGCCTCCTGGGCGCCGGGCGAGGCGAGGCCATGCCCATCAGCTCCGCAGAGCCCCCGAAAGCCTGCTGGCCCCCGCACACCTGCCAGTCGGGGCTCAGCTCGCTGGGGGCCCCAGCAACCCCAGGTGAGCCAACCTCAGAATCCAAGATACATCCCTCCCCCAGCCCCACAGCACGGGGGGGAAAAGAGAGCTCCGCCCCGCTCCCAAAGCCGGAATTCATGTCATCCCCTCTGTGCAAGTCAGAGAAAACCCACACTGAATTATCAGAAGAGGACCCACAGCTCCCCAGAGCATGGTCACACTGCCTCCAGATGATCTCCAGATCATAGAGCTGAGCTATTTCAGCATCATACCCTGCAAGCATCGCCTGAATCAGGGAATCCCCTAATGTGTCCCAAGCCTTTCTCAACCACAGGAAAAAACCCCTCAGCACAGCCATAATAATAAAATCACTGAAAATCAGCATCTGAAACGTCGATCCACTTTCTATCTAGTAAAGCGTGCCAAAATTCCATAACCAGGGCATCCATCAGGGAGAACCCGAGAGAGGCCATTGCACAAAAAACTTAGCAAACACGACACTGCAACACCTGTCTAGGTCACCAGATGTCGCTATAGGGCACGGAATGATTCACATGGACATGGTTCAGTGTATGACAGGAAAAAGGATTCTTTTATTTTCTCGACTCCAGTATTTATAGATTCTCAGCAATGACCAGGGATTGGATAGTTAGGTTACCACCTTCCCAATCACACTGGTTGTGCAAAACTTCCATCAAAAGACGTTTCTTAAAAAGAATGTATACACATTATATTTGTAGTTACTCTCCTGGGAAAGTGGCTAGAAACTATGAAAACAAGATCAGAAGACGTAATTTTCAGGGCAACAGTGCTGTCTACAGGGGAAGCAGACAAAGGTGTCTCCAATGAGAGGCTCCTGGTTTATTCCTACAGAACTGTGGAGGTTTTTTTTGCCTGTCTTGTTTTACTTTGGTAGTCCACAAAGCCTCTTTCCACTGAATAGCTTCTACTTGTCCACATAGTACCCAGCAGATGAATGAGGATAATTCTAATGATAACACTGCCCTGCCCATACTTCAGTTAAAGCTGCAATTTTCTGTTAGAACTCTTCCTTCTCTATGTTTTGTGCACATGTTTGCCCTTGACTTTGCTTGGAGAAAGCCTGGGGAAAGGGATGAATGAGACATGGTGGGCCTTTGTCTGCAGCCTGTGTGGGACACTTGGGATATCTGGTGCTGAAGGCTGAAGGCACAGATCTGACTGTGTGGAGATTTTAGGAAATTGTAGATACAGGGGAAAAAATGATAAATTTTAGAAAAATTATGCATGCTGGCCTCTTGCTTTCTTCCATGGCTACCAGAAGGAAACCTGTTTACTTTCATGACTTTTTCTAACAAATCAATTCTCCAAGTGTTTGATTTAGGCACAGAAAATAAATGGGCATTTTTAGCACTGCTCTTTGAGGTGCAAGGGATGATGTCTGTCCTGTTACAGACTGATGGGAGACCCTACCAACCTGCATTGGACTATTTTCTTTAAGGACACAGTAAAACCCCAGTTGAAGAATAAATACAGTTCCATGACTTCTCTTGCACACATCTGGATTTCTGAGTAATTCCTGTGTTATGTGTAAATCCCTCTTCTAAGGACATAAAGGTCAAAAATATTTGGGGTGGGGTGTAGAGAATATTTATTTTAGTAACAGCCTGTCTGCACAAACCAGCCTTTGGTATAAGTGGTGATATTAAAGACCAATGTCCTTGAAACTCTCCTGAAGCAGAGAGAATGAAGCAAAACAATATCCCTGTGTATGAGAGAAAAAATATAAACCTATGTGTATTAGCAATAGTAACTTGTTAAGCCTGCGGAGCCTGTCGAACCCTATAAAAGTGTGCTAAAGATAGAAATAAACAACGTTTGCCATACTTCTGTGAAGACTGGGCTGAATAGTCTGAGCGATTTCTCAATAGTGGGGAGGGAGAGTTGTCAAGTTAGCAGGACAAAAGGGATTTATAGCAACTTTTCTGCTTTAAAGCTTTTACCAAGGTACGTGTAAGCAGCTCTGTGAGTAGAAGTGAGTAATTCCAAAGTATTAAAGTTTATTGTAGAGACAACAGCACAGCAGAAGTTATTTATCCTGGCTCTTGCTCATCAGCACAGTCTACCCTTGTCTCCTTTGTGGCTCAGAGCTTTGTTAGTTTTGCAGCTTCAGTACAAGCATGGAATTATCTGGAACAGAGAAATGTTTGAAAGAATTTTCTGTGTACGTTAAAAAACCACAGCAATAGCATTGGGCAGCCAAGGTAGTCTGTGTTTTAAGGATGTTGCTGGGACTCTGTGCCCATCCTGTCTGCACAGGTAGTTGTACCTAGTGGGGTGTGTGCTCTACAGTGTGAGCAGGGCATCTGGGGCCCTGCCAGCTTCACAGATCCCACAGGATGCATTACAGTGGAAAATCTTCCACAGCAAGTGATTTTTTTGCCAACAGTGGTGATGGGTCATGCCCTCATTTGGCATTTACATGTTCTTTCTCTTACCTTCAGAATCATTTGTTTTATTAAATGAGGACAGATCAGCTCCACTGGGTGTGAAGGTACTCCAGTGACAAAGCATTCTCATTGGTCTCTGGGTGCATATGGAATGCTTAAGCACTCAGCTCCGTGGTTCATCCTGATCCTCTAATTTAAGAGATTAATACCTGACAGCACACAGTATTTTACTACATTTTCATGTAGGTATTTAATGCCTTGACTGCTCCTATACACCTTAGTCCTTTCATTGTTGCTGTCACTGGTAGAATTTGGGACTCCAGGTGGCACAAGATAGTCATGACAGGAAAAGAATAGGATGTATTAAAAAAGAAGGACAGGAAAATGAAGAGTAAAAAACTCTATTACCCAACAAAGTCCATGACACAATAACAGGATGTTATTCATGTTACATATCCTGTGACTGTTTCATTTACTGTAGGAGTTCAAGCAGGGAAGTTCTGGGATGTAAATTTACATATTTCACAGTCACTGGAACTGTGAAACTCAGGGAAAAAGTCCCACTGCTTTAAAATTAAGAATATGACATTTCTTCAGAAGTATATTTAAAAAAAAACAAACATGAACTTACTGGTTGGCTAGGAAGTGCTTTAGATGTCAAGACTAAAAGGAAAACATCAGTCTGAGCCTCTGTAATGCAGGCGATATTGACACAGGTGCTCCATACAAAGCCAGCTAGTGACTTGATTGGAACAATATATATCCTGTAAACATTATGAGAAAGATTCTGGTTTTTTATTACAAAAAGAATAATTTGTTCAACAGGATTTTCACTTGACAGGACACTGGGAGGATCTGTATGAGTCTGAATTAGAAACACACAGAAAATGAGGCTGTTGTTCACAGGATTTCATGTCACAGCAGGTGGAAGATGAGCACCAAAGATTGGAGAGGATGGTCTGACAATTAATTCAGTGCTGTGTGAGCACAGAGAACAGGGTTCCATCCTCCCACAGCACAGCATCCCCTTATGGTGCTCTTCAGTCCCTAGGACAGTCTTTGCAGTGATCCTGAATTTCATACTAATTTTCAAGGTGTCCATTACAAGTGTCCTCTGCTCTTTCCTATTTCTTGATCAATGTTCTGTCAGGCTGCATGGACCGAAGTCAAAGTATATCACTGACCTCAGTAAATGTAGCACAATGTCAAATATGTTGACAGAGCACTCCCTGCATGTGTCTTGGTTCTAGAAGACAGGTGTCTGCTAGGGAGAGCAGGAGTCTCCCTTGGGATGAAAGAATGTTGACCCCCTCCCTCCGAATTATTATAATTTTGAAATCAAGGGGCTCTCAGGCAGAGATCTGTGGATAGGAATAACAGTTCTTTACTAGTATAACCAGGCAAACAAACAACAGTAACTACAGCAATAACAAGAACACAGAACCAGGGACCCCGTGACAGCTTTCTCGGCTGAGACGGGATGGAGGAGAGGCTTTGCTTCACAAACCCCTTCGGGCAGTCAGTCTCGGTGCTCCTGTGGGGCTCTGAGGAACACTCAGCTGGAACAGCAGGGATGAGCAGAGATCCTGGGCTGGTGGATGAGGTGTATCAGCAGCTCCACGGCAGTGGCTGGCACTGCCACACGTCCCGGCAGGACAGGGGGTGCGAGGCCACCGACAAAGAGGGGAGAAGGAGAAGAAGCAGCAGCTCCGTCTGGGTGATGGCGAAATTCCCTTCTCTCCACCGCAGCAGCTCCGCGACCCAGCAAACAAATGTCTTTCCCCGAAGCCGAAGAAAAAACAGCCAAAAACTGTCCCCACCCTCCTTTCCTGCCCCCTTCCCCCCCTGGGCCCGGCCACTCTTTGTCCCTTATCAATCACCCACCAAATACCCACAGTTAGGTTGTCTCCGCAGCTAATGGGTAAAAATTCCATGGGTAGGCCAGAACAACAAAACAAAACAAAAAAAAAGGACACCTAACCCTCAACAGCATGTCTCAAAGTGGTACCCACAGAGAAAAATATCACTTAATGTTATATTCTATACCTCAGGTAGCCCTTGCATGCAATGATTTCACCCTTCCACAAACTCAGATGAACATTTGCAAATACAAATTCAGTTCTGCCTTTTAGGCACTACAGTATTGTGGTGGTGGCCTTCAGGAGACCCTGGTTAGTAAACCAGTGGTGTTCTACACAGTGGTGTTGTTCTGCATAGTGATTTGGTGAGGAGTGAAGAGAAATCCCCATCGTGAATGATGCAAATTAAAGAGGTGTCTAACTGCTGTTCCAGCCAGCACAGCTGGCAGAGGGACACATGGAGTGTCTGATGATCCAATTAGATGACACCATGGAAAATGTCACAAGGTGCCTAGTGAAGACACCAGTGATGCCATCACTGGTGTCTTCTAAGTAAAGTGCTTTGTCTATAGCCTCACACTTGTGAGGGTCCCAGCCAGCAGTACAGAATGACTGGGGTCTAGTTTAGTTAATACTGTCTCCATCTAAAGAAATGTTTATATTACTCTAGTAAGCATTTACATCATTATGATTATACCACTTGTCCCAGTGATATTAATTTTAACACATTCCAGTTTTACTGCAGCTGACTTTCTCCCACCCTGTCCTCAGTAAAGGTTCCTGCACCATGCCAGGTCCTCATGCTGTAATGGTACCATCCCTTCCCACCATGAATTTCCCAACAGAGGGCAGCAAAAGCCTTTGTTTTGCTTCCCGGGGAATGAGGATGAGCAACATTTAAAAGTTGGGTATGATTGAACTGGTGCCTTTTGGGAGGAGCATAGTTAGTCCAAGGGTTAAAAGGTGGCTGTGTTTTTGTTTCAAGAACACTAGAAATTATTTACTCATGAACATGCTGTGTGTACACTCAGTGCAGGCAGAAACTGAAGCAAGACCCAGAAGACAACAAATGAACTGGTGTGAAGGGAACCTTGGGCCACTTTTATTATCTCTTGCCTCTTATTTACTTTATACTCTCAACAAGAGGAAAAGCAGAACATTTTGTTCATTATGGAACCCTGGGGCCTGCCTGTTACACAAGAGGCCAGTTCAGTCCCTGAGAGCCCCAGGCTCTGGTTTGGTGGTAAGCTAAATGCATCATCTTCTCCTCCCTCTCCAATCACAACAAGCAGGCACAGAACATCAACTGAGGACCAAACCCTGAGCCTTGCAGAGCAAGTTTAACCAAGTAAATTCTCCCTTGATTCAGTCTGAGAAATCATGAGCACTGCACCTGGTATGTTAATGGCATGTGATGGGACTGGTACAGCAACCTTCCTGCCCCTGCTGTTACTCATCTCAGACTGCAATTCAGTGCCCAGTTACTCACTACACACTGAGCATAAGAAAGGCTGGATAAAAGAAATTGAGTAAATGAGAAAGATTTCTGCTCAGCCAGGGGTCTCCCAAACCTGGACTACCAGTCCAATACCAGAGGCCTTGTTCAGAGTTCACAAGTGCAGTGCTGCAGCTCCAAAGGACAGAAGGATGTAATGAAACACACATCTCCACCTCTTATTCATCAGAATCAATAGCTTGCATGGGGTTTTAATTTTTAGTGAAGGACATTCAGGTATCCTATTACAAGGTGCTACAGAAGGTAAGGAAGGTACAGACCCCTAAAGCCGATAAAGACTATTAAAGAGTTATTAATGGAAACCAGTTCATTAGCTCTATTTGGCTTTGGATCAAACTCCAGGTATTTAAATCATATCTCCCCCCTTTGTATTATTTTTGACATTACATGGATTTTTATCAGCACCTGTTCTGAACTGAAATACAAGCTGATTTATACCAGAGTAATTTGCAAGGAGGCAAACCACTCAGAGGATGAGTCAGCCTTTCAGATGTAGATAATTCACAACTGTATAAATGAGGGATGTGATCAGGGTGGGACTGGAATAAACCTGGGTCTAAACAAAAAGTTCTGTGTCTACAAACATCTGCATGTCAAAAACTCTTCTTAAAGAGCCTGGCAGAAGCAGGCATCCAACTCACACTGACAGTGAGCATCTGCTCCCGTCATGCATCCTCAATGCATCATCCAGAGGGCAAAGCTGTAACTGGGATCCAATTGGTGCCTGTGGACACCCTACAGATCTGCTGTGGTGCCTCCCATGGGCCCAGCTTACCCTGCTTGCAAGGCCCCTGTGGAGACAAGAGCTGAACAGAGCCACCAGTTAAGCACAGCCTGGTGTGTTTTACCTTTCCCAGCACCAGCATCTTATATCTGCTTCTGAAAACCCCCCAGCACATTTACATTGTCATGTTCTTCACTCCCAGGGAAAAATAATCTTCAGTCTTGCGTGTGGGGAAGAGAAGCACAATTTTCCCAGCAGCTTCTCCGTCCTTTAAAAGATCTACACATCTTGGTTGTGTCATTTCCGTTCTCAAGACACCTAATCACTCCCTCACACTTCTCTGATTATGCACTGTAGAGCAATTGGGTAATAAAATAATTAAATAGCTGCATGTCTTTGTTATACCCTTTAATTAGATTACTTGGAAATAATAATAGTTTCTTGCCAACCTGAAAGGTTCATTAATTCCCTCTGCAGATAACAGGAAGTAATCTATCTTTTCCTACTGGTATTTTTCTAAATCCTAAATCAAAGGAACCAATTCTGATTTTAAAGTCAATTAGAAATAGATACACTCCGACACTATACCATTATCTTCATGAGTGAAATGAATTCAGGCTCTCCTTACAAGGCAGTGCAACAAAATTTCTCCTTCTAGGGATGACAATTTCAGGACAAGAAGTAATATTTTAAAATATAAAGCACTTCCTGGAATAATTACCCAACTAACAAAATGCTCCAGAAGAATAAGATTGACTTTATAGTACTTACAAAGTGCTTTAACATCAGTAAAGAAAAATTATGTGAAAACAAACTACTCCTGCATTTATAAATCTTTACACAGCCTTAAGTCAGTCAGAAGCATTAAGCCATAGTTAAAGACTGACAATTGCTTAGGAGCTAATGGGTGCTGATGACACCTGATGACTATTCCACAGTCATGGTGTGATACTTGCTCGGGGCTGTGTCTATCCCAAAACAAGTAAACATCCACACTACCAAAAATGCTTCCATGGAGAAATGGTCACTGTGGCTCCCCAGTGCCAGGACCAGCTTCATGTTGTTGAGTTCATCAGCAGTAGGGACTGAGGTCCTACAGGAAGGTGGACAAAACCCTCAGGAAACTCAGCAAAGACAAATGCAGGTGGTCAAAGATAGTTCTGGGTCTGGGAGGGAGTAACTCAAATTCAGCAGGACATGGGGTGCTGCCTTGAAAGCAATTTGGTGGAAGAGGTGCTATGGTCCCAATAGGTTGAGTAGGACCCCAACTGAGCACCCTGTGACAAAGGACATTCAGGGTTGTGTCACCATTAGTGCAGCCAATGGGGTGAGGAACCTCACCTTTTACTCTGCACTGTTAAGAACCCACCTGTGAGTGCTAGGACCAGCTCAAGCTCCCTGATGCCTGTCTGATATAGGCACTGACACCACAGTCCAGAGGAGGCCATCAAGCTGTCAGGGACAGAGGCCTTACCAACAGAAACAGTCACTTAATTGTGGCTGTGAGATCTTATTGGTTTATGTGTGGAAGATAAGATGGATTTTCACATCCCTACCCATTGTAAGGAAATGCTAAACTTTGCACTTACAAAGTGTATAATTTTTCTGAAGAATTATTGAGGACATTCTCCTACTCTCTGAAAGATTGGGTGGTCTTTCCTCTGATTTCAGAACATGGACTCTCTCACTCCTCACAGTCAAACGAGGAGTATCGTAATTTCTGTGCATTCACTTATGCAATAGTGCATTCACATTAAGAAAAAATACACTTGAAACAAAAAAGATTTTATGTAAAGGTTAATTAATATCAATGGTTTAAGCACCTGCAGCAGATACCTTAAAAATAACAAAAGTGATTTTATTTACAAAGGGCTTTATTTTGTGTCCCAAAGCCCACAGTGACAGCAGTGATGTCCCAGATGCTTCACTGTTATAGACTCATGTTAGCCAGGACGTCCCTTTCTGCTCTCAGAGATTTCATTTCCAGTAACGTGGGACCAAGGATAGCCGTGGGTTCCTGAAGGTGTTCTTGTACCAGCTGAGCCCTCTGTGTATACGCATGGTAGTGTGTGTACACACACAAACACACATATACACATATATTGTGTTTACAGAATCACAGATTCATTAAATGATTTGTGCTGGAAGGGACCTTAAAGATCTTGTTCCACCCTCTGCCACGGGCAGCGACACCTCCCACTATCCCAGGCTGCTCCAAGCCCTGTCCAACCTGGCCTTGGGCACTCCCAGGGATCCAGGGGCACCCACAGTTTCTCTGGGCATCCTGTGCCATGGCCTCACCACGCTTACAGAGAAGAATTTCTTCTCAATATCCCATTTAACCCTACCCTCTGGCAGTGGAAAGCCTTTGACCGTTGTCCTGTCACACCAGGCCCTTGTTCATAGTCCCTCTCCAGCTCCCTCGGAGCCCCTTTAAGCATTGGAAGGCGCTCTAGGATGGTCTGGAGCCATCTCTTCCCTAGGTGAACACCCCCAGCACTCCCAACCTGGCTCCACAGGATACGGATTTCTGCTCGCTAACACGCAGCTCGCGGTCCCCGTCACGGCCCGGCCCCGCCCCGCTCCGTCCCTCCCTGCCGGGCGGCCCCGTGGCCCGCACCGAGCATGCGCATTACCTGCCGCGGTGCATGATGGGAGCTGTAGTCCTTTTGCGGCAGCCGAGGCACTAGGCGCCTGCGCGCATCGGGCTCGACTTTGCCAAGTCGCGCTGCCGGAGGCC